TGCAAAGGACGTTATATGCGAGTGATAAAAACAAAGCTTAATATGGGCAGTCGTATGTTTTCGATTCTATTGAATCTACTGACAGACACATCAATAACAACAGTGGATGTTTACTCTCTGAGATGGAGTAATTAGATAATTTATTAAAACAAAGCAATCTCTTTGTTGCATCATCTCCCTCATTGCATGAATTTATCTAATCAAATTTTGCGACAGATATTAAATTTATATTCATAGAAAGATCCCAATTCTGATTTGGGGATATAAAATGCTCCAACTTCAAAAACAGAGATAACAGAAACAATTCTCGTGGTACAGAAAATGGAGAACCTCCATCTAATCGAAATTTGTGCATCTATCCTGTTGGCGATGTATGCAAAATTATTTTCACATATGATTTATTGCACTTTGCCCTCTACTTTTTTCTGCAAGAGAGAGTGATTGGAATGGAGCACGTAGAGTAGCGACGCACTGCCCCAAGCGTTTCAGAGTTACTCCATTTAAATACTATGCCGACAGATTTACTACTCAACACGATTTAAACCTTCTTGATAGTATTGGAAAGCCTTTTTAACAGTTCAATGATGACTCTTCAAAGTGATGTGTTCTCAAATTACATAATGCTGGGGAAATTTATAATTCTGCTCTCAATCTTTCAATGATCTTCCAGCTCCATGCAACAAAATTACCAGGATGGTATGACAATTGTAAGATATCTTAAGACGCCAGATCTTTTCATATCTTTTACATGCAATCCGAATTGGCCTGAAATTTTAAATGCATTACAAAGCTGCCAGAGTCCTGAACATAAACCCGACAGTGTTGTTAGAGTACTCAGAATCAAATTGACAGAACTTCTAGATGTTATTTAGAAGCGTTATATTTTTGCCATTATTATATCATTCATCTAAGTTATTAAATTTAAAAATTGAGGATTACCTCACGCACATATATTACTGACATTAAATTCTACTTCCGAAATTAGGACAAAAATGACATTGACAAATTCCGGATGGAACTCTTTACCCTAGACTTTCCCAACCTGTGGCACACTGAATCCAAATTCACCATGCATGAAGAAGGAAACTGAAAACGTTCCAAAAGATTTTTAAGTGACTACCTAAAAAAATTTTATCCAGTCTCCTGAAGAAGTGTTACTAAACCTGTCAAAATATTGAAATTTGAAATGGATTGTCCATCGGTTGTCTATGAAATTTAATGTTCACATAAATGCTGAGGTTCATGCTTCAGTCAAATATCTTTATGCATATTGTATCCATATGCATACATATTATACAAATATGTCTGTAAAGGTCATGATATTGTTTAACTTCAAGTTAAGAATGATTCTTTAAATGAAATGATGACATCGCCACTGAATCTGTGGCGGCTGAAGGAATTCACAAGGTTCATTTACCAAATTGCTTACCATATAAAGCTGTAGCCTTTTTCTCGAGCCACTGACAGATTTTAACAGCATGATTTGAAAATTACAACAGCATAAAAATCGCCAGTACAATTATGAGAAACTAAATGTACAGCTACTCGTTGTAGTGTATACAGCGTTGAATGAAGTTTATGAAAATTAAGCTCAAGACCTGTTCTTCTTGGATAGGTCTACTAGCATTGATAAAGCATTTATATATTCAACATTTTGTTGCACATAATCCATGGCAATGCAGTCATTCCTGTTGCGTCGACTGAAAACGCAGATACTCTTTTAAGTGGAGGAAGAACTGTACAATTTATATCTCAATAATTTTAAACACGTAATTTTAAGCCTACAGCACAAGAATGCATTGTTTTATTATACGGAACGAAGATCCTGTGTGTATGAACCATGTGTATGCTTCTTTAGAGGGAGAAAGATTCTTACAGGACAGAATTAATATTTCCAAGCTATTTGGGGAGAAAGTTGTGCTGATGGAGAGTGATTTTTTGCAAGTTTTATCTGTGATTCCTGAAGATTCCCACTACCAGCCTACTGAAGGAACATCTCATGTTAGGCTAAATTTCCTATTATTCATCATACTCAAAACAATATGTGCTCTTTCAAATGTTTTTTTCAGACTAGTTATTGGATGTTAGAAATTGAAAAGTGCTTCCAGAAATTTGTTATCCTACAGTTGTACTCTGACATTAAGTACAGTTACAGCACGCCAACTTAAAGGTAGAGCAATATTAACTGTCACAAATGATTTTTCAATGATGTTCAATGATCGTGTATTAAACTTTTCGCCAGGAAACGCAAAAATATACGAAATAGGAGATACTATAAGTGATTCACAAAATCAACCTAGTTATCCTGAGGAGATTTTGGTGAGCATCACACATCAAAAAAGGTTCTATTATTATGTTACTTAGAAATTTAATGCTGTGTAATGAAAAGGAAATATAATCGAGTGGTCGATTAATAGAAGAAGCTGACACATTTTTTATTCCCAGAATACGTCTAGAATGCACTTTTCTCTTAAGCGGAAACAATTCTCAGTACGTCTGGTCTTATCATTGACTATAAAAAAATCTCAGAGCCAGTCGTTAGAAAAAAATTCTTTTTAATTCTGACTAAACCAATTTTCAGCCATGCACAACTTTATGTGGGTCTCTCAAGAGTACGACATTTCACAGCCTGACAGTGCTCCAACTACTGAGATTTATAATTGTGCTTTAAAAAAGTCCTTAATCTTTAATATTAAATTTTTTTTAAAAAAAAACCTAATTAATGTTAGTGTCAACAAGTTTTTCCGTTGCACGTCATTTATTTCAATCTTGTCATACTTAGATCATTCGGCTGCTTTGTAGTGATAGCTCAAAGTTCTAAAAATTATGATTGTGTTTTTAACAAAGTAATAAATCTTTAATAATTATTGTCGCTTTTTAAAAGCATAATTATTGTTTTGTCTTAATTAAAGTTTTTCTATTAAGTTTCATACATTTCAATTTTTAAGAAAAATTATTTCAATAGTCAATTACTTATTAAAAATTTTAATTTTAAAAAAAAGAATTGGTTTTGAAGATTTTAATAATTGATTCACGTTCTTAAGATTTTACATTTCAAAATACATTTCAAAAGGGATCAACTTAATAATAAGTGAAGCGAACATGGCTTACGAAGCATCGCAATCTTCATGGTTAGCTAGCAGGAGGTGGAGCCCGCTAGCTCTTTAAATTCCCTTTTCCCCCACTTGAAAAGATTATCATGATACAATAATAAGCTAACTTTAGATGCCTTTATAGTTCTGTTTCTATGTCTCTACGATTTTTCTCTTTTTTGTGCGCATTATGTTTCAAATAATATTTTATTAGGCATAATTCAAAGTTAACATACTTGGAATTCTATAATAAAGGCAAATATATGAATTTATTTAATTATTTATTAAGTTTCGTTTCATTAGACAACGAACTGACAAAAAAGCTGCGTAAATTTTCCTAATCGAGTGATTGGTTTAGAATTATCTTACATCAAGAGTGGTTTCAAATGGCCATTTTATCTCGTAGCGAACAGGCCAGGATAGCCTAGCTGGTAGAACTTTGGGAACATGTCCAAGAGGTCGTGAATTCGATCTTCGCCGGCCGAAGACTCTCCGTGTAGCAAAACGGTGGCGGATGCACGTTAAATCTGTCTGGGCGCAAAGTCCACCATGTTACCACAACAAATCATGCCTCTAGAGGTATTTAATTGGAGATTGATCGTTCTCTGTTCAGGTCAGTGGATTAATGAATGGATGTATAAATAGGTCCGGCCTATAAACGGAGTGTAACGAATGTGTGGCTGAAGTGGTATTCTTGGCAAAAGATGGCTCCACTGAAACACAAGAAAGGCACCCTTTGCCTAAAATTTGTTCGGTTTCACCAAGCAGGCTTGCTGATATTGGCAAGTAGCATTAGAAACAACAACAACAACCTCGTACTGAACCATCTTACGATTTCGTCTTATATGTGTCGCTTGAAAAGCAAAGCGACAATTTCCCAGACTGGACATTGCCATTGCAACAGCAGTCGACATAATTGATGGCTTTTATCAATAATTGTCCTTAATTAAGCGTTTTCAATGTGTAAATAATTAACAGAGTGCAAACGACTTCAAGTTCCCGGAAACCGTAACGAGCCTCAGAAAACTTCCGGCTTATCCCACTGCCGAGATTTTCTTCAAGGCGAATTAGTTCGACATTGTAGAAGATTTTTACTATTAAGATTTTATCCGATATCCTAAGTTTCTTGAAAGATTTATAAATTTAAACGAAATGCGACAATCAACACCAAATAAATTACTGAATTTTCACTCAAAATCATGCAAAATGTTGAGGAGGTTAGAAAATAATTGTCTGTTAAGAAAGCACTCCAGAATATATTAATTTAAACTTATCCGCCTTTTGACGATGGCGTAAACTCTAGGATTTGTTTAGATGATTAACCATCCATACTATTAAAATCTTTTTATGAAGCAGCATTCTCACTGCATACGGTTCGTGTGTGCGATCTCGCGTAAGAGTTATTTAAGCTAGCACGAGTGGAGCCGGGATAGCCTGACTGACAGAGCATTGGGCTTTGTCTGAGAGGTCATGAGTTCAATCCTAGCTGCCCAAAGAGTATCAGTGAGCAAAATGGTGCACGCTAACTCTGTCGGCGTGACAAAGACCTCCAAGTTCCCATTACAAATCAATATTTCTGGTGCATGGGAGATTGATCATTTTCTGGTTCAGGCCCAAATAACGATCTGCGGATTAATGTATGGTGTGTGAATGTGTCCTCCCTGTAAAATGAGATGTGACGTATGCATGCTGTCTTCGGATCATCCTCAGGGATGTTTCCTAGACCGTCACCTATAGCCCATTGTACCTATAGCCTCTAGTGCGACGTCCATGAAATCACCGTACTGTAAAAGCAAGTACCAACCAGGGATTTCTTTCACGCGTTATTTCTAAAGGCAATCGATTGCTGCGTGAATGAATTTGAACTTACCTGTAAAATGAGAACAACATAATAAAGACAGAAATGCATTTCATTGTTTCTTTTTATAATTCTTAACATAAAAGTTTGCAAATAAAATCATCAATATTGAGAAAAATATTACAGAAGTTCCGGCACCCTTGTCTAAATGTTCACATCCTGAAATAAGGCCCCACGCGATGTATCCTAAAACAATCCAAAATTGAATCTGAAAATGAAAAAATAAAAATCGTCACTCTCAACTATAAATATTAAAACGCAAGAAATTTCTGATTATTTTTCTTCCTTGAAAGGTGGTTGAGTGCAGCGTGAATGGTCCCTTGGGAAAATGCGCTCCCAGTTTTGAAACATGTTTTTCTTTTTTTAATTAATTTTGCAGATATAAACTGTGTCCTTTCAAACATGTCTGGATTGAAGAAAGACGAGTGAAAAACAACAAAGCACTTGAAAATGGCATGTGCATCTCAACTGAGTCGGATATGAAAAAAAGTGGTTTGATTTTTAAATGTATAACAGATGTTAACAGAAGAGGCAAATTAGAATTTTAAGAAATTGTCAAAAATGGACTGGTTAAAACGTTCTTCCTATCGTCTTCGAATGAAAGGGAGAATATTTTTACAACTCAATGTATTTTACCCATCAGGTTCTCACTCGATGACTATCGGAAATGCTTAAATCACTGAGAATGGAAACGATTTGAAAATCATTGCTGTATCTATTTTTCTTTAAGTAGATCGACTTTTAAAAGGTTAGACTGGAAAAAACCTCTTGAGAAGGCCAAGGCCCACCATGGGCTGTCAAGCTATTGATGAGGATGATGACCAGCTATTTACTTTTTTTGTTAAAGGGATGGACCACAGTTTAAACCAATAAAGAAAAATGACACTTTTCTATATAGAAATCTGTATGTATATTCAGTATAAAAAATAAATTATGGATCAGAATTTAATTTATTTAAGTTATTCAAATCATCCAGCAAGCATTAAAAAAAAGCCTTTTTATTTCAAATGTTTTGGCCTATTTAAACGATTTTAAAATTTTTTTATTGATATTAAGTACGAGGCACTAACGGAAGATATTAATCAATTTTTTAAAAAAATTGCATGCCGCTTTTATTTTTATTTTACAATAGAAACCTTTTCCGCACTAAGGGATTTCAAAATTTTTATTACAAAAAATCCCTTTTCAATGTGCAGATGGATGATTAACTGAATGTAAACAATTGAGGAGGGAACAAATTTAAAAAACTTTCGGTGCAACTTATGTTATGCTTACGAGACGATGTGCAAGTAGGCTTAATATTCCAGAAAAAAATAATTCCCAATGCCCGACAGGGGAATAACCTTCTAAGGACTGTTGTGATTTTTGTTCAAATTTAATTGTAATTTTAACATTCCATAAGAGTTAATTTAAAAATTTTAACTGATCGTGAACCTAAAACAAATTTTAAAAAATTACTACTAAAACATAATGAAAGTGTTTGACACGTTTTGAATCTTTGGCTATGATTGGGGAAAATATCGCTGGTTGTAATTTTTTTTGGAAGCATCATTGCAAGGAATCGAGTTGCTGTTTCGTTGAAAGTTAAATTGAAAGAAAGTATAATATTGTGGACACTACAAGTATAATAATATTGAATCCAAGGGGGGGGGAGGGAAATATATAAGTCTAAGGACGAATTTTATTCGGCTAATCCTCCATACTGAACCGTGGTGACTCAGGGGATAGAGAGTTCGCCCTCCAATGGGATGAACCGGGTTCGAATCCCAGTGATAGCTTTTTGATACAAAATTCGCATCCAGCTCGCACTGACCGCGCTAACTTGAAATATCCTCAGTAGATCATGGGTTAGAGTCCAGGCTAACCGTGGGAGGATCTCGTGATTTTCCTCTCCATGTAACGCAAATGTCAAATTTCTCCAAATACTTGATCCAGTAGTTCCCTTGTCTCTTAGATTGGGTTCAAAATGACAAGGCAACGGAGTTGAATATTAGTAGTCGTAAACCCAAAGCTGGATCTTCTGTTCAACGACGGGTTATAAAACTTATGGTTTTATTTGTAAGGCGCCACCTATTAGCAGAGACCATCACCTTAACCCCGTGATCTGCATCACGTGTATTTGAGGTTTCCTTTGGATCCCTTGAGTCGAACCGAACCTCTGAAAACCCTCAGTTAAATTTTAAACCACCTAGTTTAAAAAATGTTAACTATTAATTGAAGTAACAATTTATTGCTGGTAACTTATGAATTAATAATATAAATTAATCGAAAAAATAGCATGGTTTTTTGACTAACCGACTTCAAATTTCAAAAGCAGGTAAATTTAAGCTTTTGTTAAAGTAACATGCATACACGTAAATTATTTTTTTGCGAATGAATTTTGAAATAATGAGCTTTTTCAAACTTTATGTGTAGGAAAACAAAGTGAATGTTCAGTATTGCGAGATTTTAGTTAAATTATGTTACTCTGCATAAAAAAACAGCCCTTTCTTTCTGACTCTTAAGTAAAATAATTTCTTGAGTCGGGATATTTTTTATATGAAATATAAACCTGGTTTACTAATACTCTTTGGATAATCAATAAATTTCAATTCAAAATTAGCTATTCGAGGTCAAGGTATTAAAATACCTTAGGGTGTCAAACTTAAATGGCAAAAAAAAAATCTCCTGGTGAAAAAGGATAGTTATCTTTGCATAAATTGGATAAAATTATTATAAAATAAGCTGACTTAAAAAATTTAGGCTTTTTTTTACCCAAACTTTGGTGAAATACTCAAAAATTAAATGTGTGATTCATTAAAAAGAAATCATTTATTGAAAAGGATATTTCTCATGGATCACCGATTCAAAAATATTTTTTCAAAGCAAGAATCAAATAAATATTTTGAAAACTCTTCTAACATTTCGTAGATATAACAGAGTGTATATGACTCTCATATTCAGTTGTACGCAAATTCCGGCATCTCCCACGATTAGGGCCCATTAGAAAACCTTTTAACAAAGAATGAATACTCGAGCATTTCAGTTCAGGTTAAACCTGCCTTGCAATTATTTTGTTTTGTGATTTCTTTGCATATACTTACTACTTGCACAAAAGTAAGATATATCTTTCTTGGATAGGTATATCTCTGTATTTTAGGACCACACGCTGATAAAGCATAGTAGGTATACGTACAGACATGTACAAAGGAATTCAACGAAATACCCACTCCGATGTATCCACCTAGGAGAAAAAATGCACTTATTCAGTATTAAAAAAGAACAAAATGTAAATGTAGTACAATATGTTATGTGTACATAAGTATTATATAAGATGCGAAGAAACGCCTTCATCTAAACTTAGATCATTTCAGTAATTCAGCTTTCTGGAATGGTAGAGGGAATCTTCAACATTTATAGTGGAAGAATCAAAAGAATAGTTGATAACAGCAGTTACATTTATTTTTTGATTGCATGAATCAAAAACTTTATTTACTTGAAAGAACAATGGTTCTTATATTTAATTTCCTGGTAACAAAATGTTTATGGAATTATAAAGTGAAAGAATCATTCATTTTTTAGATTGTTTCGAAAATTAATACATTATTTAAAATTTTATATTTCAAGAACTACTTTCTCGATATATTTAACATTCTGGATTTTCTCACATTAGTTAAGCAAGTTTTTAATTCTCAGTATACCCGTCGTTGAACAACCGATCAATTTTTAAAGTTGACGACTACTTATGCTCAACTCTGTAGCCTTGTCATTTTGAACTCAATCCAGAAGACAAGGGAACTCCTGGATCAAGTATTGGGAGAAATTTGATTTCGCGGTCGATTTTTTGATGGAACTAACTTGCATTTACGTTACATGGAGAGAAAAACCTCCCACGGTTAACCTGACGGCAAAGGGACTCATGATTAATCTAATACCAAGATTATTTCACGTCAACACTGAGGTCTGTATAAGCTGGGTGAGGAATTCATATCGACCATATTTACAAGCTGTTCAACACCAGTTGTAAAATAAAATGTAATTTGCCCTACATGTGTACCCTGAGAAGAGAATTCTTGAATCATCAAACTATCAAGCTTTAGGCCAATTGTCAAGACAAGAAAGAGAGCGAAATAATTCGCGAAAAGATGGAAATCGTGAAGAAGAAAGTTTCGGCATAGGTTCAAATTCTAAACCAAGAAAATCAAATCAAAATCGGAAATAAGTCTACTAGAAAGTTCTATCAGCGAACGTATACGACTCTTTTTACAGTAATATATATATATATATAACTCTGCATAAAAAACCAGNTATATATATATATATATATATATATATATATATTCGCCTATAACAGTAATATATAACGTGCATAGCTGCTGCCGTCCCATCTTTTTACTCTCTCTCTCTCTCTCCCCTTGAGCAATACAATGACATAAGAGCACTGCAACCGGCACTGTTGTTTTTGACAAACTGTTTGGATTATAGCTTCCTTGATGTGCGGTTGGACCTGAATACTCCACGCATTTTGATGGAGAACTGAAAGCCATCCAGGTGACTCTTCAGCAACTATCATTGATACAGAACTCTTACAAGAAAGCAGTTATCCTTTCAGACTCAACTTCAGCAATGCAGGCCATCTCCTCTTATCAAGAGTGTAAGAGCATGTTAGTCAAGCAGAGCTAGGAAATCATAAAAGAACTTTTCCACCAGATATCTTTTCAATGGGTACCCTCAAACTGCAGTATTTATGGAAATGAGATGGCAGATATGAATGCTAATAGGAGATGCGGTTCTCCAAAAGCCCAAAACTAAAGCGAGCCTCCATTCCATTAAACTTCTGACATCACTCATATATCAAAAGACTTTTAGAAATTTTCCCACTCAGGCTTGCGATGGCATGACTTAACGGGGCATGACTGTCTACAGAATCATTTATTTCGCATTGAACTAGTCGATTCACCTTTGCGTGTTATATGTGATAGCAGAGGGCCAATGACGACAGAACATTTGGACGAGTGTGAAGAACAAATAATTCCATGGTTGCAACTGCTTTTATGTATAAAGAGTACTTGTTTTGTCGCGTACTTACGTACAGTACTGGTCATTAAAATTGCTACACCAGGAGGGCGACTCACCACGATCGTGAAGTTGACAGGACGGATAAAGCATGTTATGTTGATGAGTCAGATCGTTGTTGTTGGGTAAAAAAGTTTTTGCTAAGCCTCATGTACTAAGGAGAAATGCCTACCAGCACGTGTCTGAGTTTGAACGAGGTTGAATTGTTGCCTTCCGGGATTGCGGTTTATCATACCGAAATATTGCCGTTCACGTTGGTCGAGATCCCATGACTGTTAGCAGAATATGGAATTGATGGGTTCATGACGGCCATATGAAACGCCGTGCTGGATCTCAGCGGCCCCACATCACTTACAGCCGAGAAGACAGAGCGTCTCCAATGGTGTGATCAAGGACGAGGTTCTGTATACAGCATCATGATGGCCACATCTGTGTTTGGCGACATCGAGGAGAACGCCCACTGGCAGCTTGCATTCGACATCGTCATACTGAATACGCGTTGGATACACGTCTCGATCACCTCGTGTTTGCATTGCCGGCACTTTGAACAGCAATCATTACATTTTTGATGTGTTAGAGCCAGTTGTCCTGCCCTATCTTCGAGACATTCCATAACGCTACGTTTCAGCAGGTCAATGCTCCACCGCATGTTGCCCGCACTGTCCTTACCTTCCTTGGCGCAGAACATGTTTGCCTGCTGCCTTCTTCTGATCTCTCATCAATTGCAGACGTCTGGTCAATGGTTGCCGAACGACTGACAAGCCACACTCGTCAGTCTCTACAGTCGATGAATTGTGACATAATGTTGAAATTGCATTGAATGCTGCACCTGTCCGTGCTATTCAATATGTGTTCGACTAGATGCCCAGGAGAATAACTGCTGTCATTGTTTCCAGGGGAGGCTGCTCTGAGTACTGATTCCTCATGATCTATACATTCAAATAACCTGAAAGTTTAATCAGATGTTCTTCCAACTATAATGTATATACCCGATAAATATCATGCTGTTATTTGCATTCCTTCCTGGTGTAGCAATTTTAATGGGCAGTAATGTACATGCATTTTACATTGCTACCCAAGAACTATCTGAGCATGAAAGGTACATTTTCTGAGGAAAAGTTTTTATGCTGAAAGCTTATGAGTTTGAGGCCGCGTGAGGTCATACAACTTTTAATCATTTAATATGAGGTAACGTAATAGTATCTTCTTTTTTTTTAGTATATGAGTTTTAAAAAATTTTCAACTATCCTTAAACTAAAATATCCATTCGATCGTTTAAATCAAATCCAATATATATTTCTGAAAATGAAGCTTTCCTTTTACATTACGAGGGTTGCTATTTATATTTCTGGCCTTGGCAACGATAAGTGTTGCTAAGCGACCGCAGACGATTTTAATCGAAAGTTTGATATTTTTAAACATAAATTCAACAGACGATTTACCATTATAGCTTCATTTGTGTTGTTGACAGTAAATTGAAAAGTTCTTCTCTTTCAAAAAATGGAATTGAATCGCAAACATTTTCGTGCCATTATTTTTCATAACTTTCGACGCGGATTGTCAAGACAAGAGTGCTTTGATGAACTTAATTCTTTATTCAGCGATAAAGCGCCATCCTACAGCACTGTAAGAAATTGGTATAACGAATTTAATCGTGGTCGATGTTCGATCCAGGACGAATCCCGTGCAGGTCGTCCGAAATCCGTTGTTGTGCCAGAAAAGATCGATGCTGTGCGTGAACTGATAAAGCAAGATCGTCATGTGACATACCGTGAGATAGAGGCGTCTTGGGACATTAGTATGACTAGCATCAATAAAATATTGCATGAACATTTGAGCGTAAAAAAATTTATTTGCGTTGGATCCCACATAATCTGACAAACGCTCAAAAAAAGGCTCGTGTCGATTGGTGCAAGGAAATGTTGGAAAAATACGTTCAAGGTACATCAAAGCTGTGTATAACAACTACACAGATGACGAATCATGGATCTATGCATATGAGCCGGAAACAAAACAGCAATCAACTGTATAGATCTTCCAAGACAAGGCAAAACCAACAAAAGTTGTTCGAGGAAGAAGCACATCGAAACAAATGATTGCCATTAACGGTCATGTGGCAACAGTGGCGTTAGAGCAACGCAAGACGGTCAATTCTGAATGGTACACGACCATTTGTTTGCCAGAAGTCATCGGAGAAATTCGAAAAAAGCAGAAGAACCGGCGAATCATTCTTCACCACGACAATGCGAGCTCTCACACATCGACTCAAACAAAGGCATTTCTGACGGAGCGAAAGATCGAACTGATAGGTAATCCGCCGTTCAGCCCTGATTTGGCCCCCAATGACTTCTTCTTATTCCCACACATCAAAAATAAATTACGTGGACAACGATTTTCGACCTCCGAAGAAGCGGTTGATGAATTAAAAACGCATGTTTTGGAGTTACCTCAATCGGACTGGAAAAAGTGCTTTGAAAATTGGTTCAAACGCATGCAAAAGTGTATTGATCATCATAGAGAATATTTTGAAAAACAATAAAACCAATTTCGATCCTACATATTTATTATTAGGCCAGAAATATAAATAGCAACCCTCGTATTAGGAGTAAATTATATTACTCCATACAATTTCAGTGTTTCTATAATGCATTTTGTAAAGAGAGAAGTTTGAAAAACTAATGAAATACGTACCTCGGCACTTATATCGTATTCCCCACCAAATAAGCAGAATTACAGTCGAGTGGTGAAAAACGTGAAGAAATGAGATTTGTCGATGCTTTTTCCTCAGAACAAAGAAAATCTAAACATTTTATTAAAAAAAAAAAATTAGTAAAGGAAAATAGATATATCAAACGTTCGATGTAAGAAGCCTCCTGAATTGGTTGAATAGTTCTTGTACTTTAAAAATACTAACCTTTTTTTAATATTGCATGACTTGGAAACCAATTGTGGTCAAATTTTTTATTTTGCCATTAAAATTACATTCTCTAAAATAACGTAAAAATTTGTAAATCTAACAAATTAAAAAAAAATTTCTATTATATGAAAAATAATAAAAAGTAATAAACAATTATTAATATTAATTTTTTTATTGAAATTATCTTTGGATGAATTAATTTTATAATTGAGTATAATTTTAATGATCTTTCCTATTTTTGATTCTTTTTTGTTTTGTTTGTGTACTTATTTTTTAATATTCCGACACATCTTTAAAAAGTCAAGATAAAATTTTTGAATTCCATTTTTACTCTTTTCTCTGATCATTTCATAATAAATTCATAATTTTACTTTCTTTGATGTTATTCTTTGAAATATTACCCGGGAAGAAAGATATTCGCCAATTTGGCAAGACAAGCACAATGTAACCTATTCTCAAAAGCTACATCTGCAGAAATTACTCTTATGCAAACCACGAAAAAGATTACTTTTTGCAGTAAAAAAGAAATTATTATTTAATCACAATGATTTTATTATCAATCACATTTGGCTTTTTTTTAATCATAGTAAATCCTTATTTCTAAAAATTCCATTGACGAATGAGACAATACGTTTGAAACATCAATTTAGTCTCATTCAATTCAGTTTTTTTTTTTTTTTTTTTTTTAGTAGCAAAATCATTGGTATCTATTTTACTCGAACCATTTTACTGTAGCTAACAAAATCTGTATTTTTCGCAACAACACTCTTTTTAAAAAATTGATTTTATAGGGAGGATTATCAAAAACCTTTTAATTTATTCGTTTTTGAAACAGGTTTTAATCATAAAAAAAAAAGGTTAAAAACATCTATAAAAGGAATCCAGATTTGGTTTCCACAACCTCCCTTCAGATTTTATAGCAAAAAATATACATTTTCTTTAAAAATTCTCTTTAAGAATATATCGCATTGGCAGGTCTAAATATGACTTTATTGGAATAATACTTTCCAAATATAAGATATTAGTTTTATACCAAATATGCATATAAATCTAATGACGGTATCGTAGTTTTCCACTGTTGTGCGCTTTTACTGGTCGTAAAATCACGTGGTAGGAAGATCCACTTTCTCCTTCCTCCTTCATATCCATATTGTTTTGGTTGTCATCAGCATAAAATTAATAAAAGTCATACTGGTATTCGAAAACATCAAGCATTTAGTTCTATCATAATCATTGGCAAAGTCTGACGCCATTTTCTAAGCAGCAAGTAAGAAGCAAAATTTCCCTAAGGAAAGGGCAGAGGATCTTAAAAAACGACCCCAGTACATTGGTTAATCTTTCAGAACATTTGAAGAAATTTCTCAATAATTTTTACCTTTCCATTATCAACAAACTTGCAACCGATAACTTCCATACTTTTACAGATGTGTGTACTACTGTAAAATCCATATTTTTTTTTTGTCTTCAATTCATTACAAATTAAAGTGAAGTCAACATTGCTTACTTCATTCCAATAAACAAATGTAATTTCAGAACATGCAGAACTGTAATAGTTGCAGAATAGTATATATTTCTGAATCTATATAATTCGGAAAATCACAATAAAGAATCATCCGAATTACTTGAAATAATATCATTTATGTTGATTATTAATACATTTTTATCGTTTTTTTGGTAAGTATTTTTTTAATTTTGAATGATAAATTTCAACTAGAATTCAGCTATTCTGTTTTTAAGTTACATATTGAAATTCATATCAAAATCTTGAAATTATAAAATTTTATTGTGTGGTATGTCATCTTAAAGTAATGAAGGGATAATCTATGTATATATTAATTGAGAACAAAATTTTAAAATGAAGAACATATAATTTTGGAATTCTCTGGATTTATAAAGCAGGTAAGTGTAGCAGTTTTTATAATAAAAAACTTTACTTGCAAATAATTTTTTTTCTTATTTGATGATAATTACCCGTAGAATGGTTTTCTACGCCCGATTACGAATAAAAAAAAAGCAAAAAAATACATGGAAGCTTTTTATTTTAATGTGAGGAATTTTTAGAATCGTTTTATTTTGTTTCGTAAGCATTCTTTATTTTGCGTTTTTTAGTTTATGAATAATGATTTTTACTGAAACGTAAAATTTTTTGATAAAAATTTTCGTCAAAAAATTTGTTTTTCAAAATTAAATTACATAAAATTGCGAGCTTATGTATACTTTTTACATATTTTAATGTTTGAAGTAATATGATTCTCAAAACTATGGAATGCAAAGTTTAAATTGTTATATCATTAAATTTAGTAAAACTATTTCTCAGGCATTAGGTTTTAACTCTAAAACGAAGATACATATTTTTTGTCCTGTTTATTTACAAGCATTTTTCCGATGTGTTTTGGATGTTCCTTCTTTAAAAAAAAAAAAGAGATAGGTACCATTTTGTTTTCGCTTGCATAAGAAAGAACATCAAAACTTTTTCTTTTTAAAATGTAATGAGTCACAATAACAAAGGAACTGAAGACATTTCCAGAGCAACTGAATAACTGTTCTTACGAAAATCGCAGGAATTCATCTCATACAACAACGCCCCCTGTAGTTCGTTGCGATCGCGAATTGTTTGAAATATTTTGTATTCCTTTTTATTGTACTGCTATTATTACGCTTTTAATTCAAGAGTTTAGAACTAAGAGAATTGTTGTTACTTTTTAATTATAATTATATTGAAATTCTGCTCTACATTTTAAGATAAGATGGTCTAATATTATTAACCACTTTACAATTATTATTTTTGAGAAAATAGCATTAATATACTATTATAAATTCCAGTTAAGCATCTGTTAAATGATTAAGAATTTGACAATCAGCTTCATGCACAATGAGATGCAAGCAAAAAGAGTATTTAATATATCCGCCAGTTGGGGTAAGCAAAAATATTAAATTACCGTTAAGAACTCGTCAAATTTGTTGGAACAATTTAATATAATAACACTATGAATGTTATTTCAAAAAATGATTACTTATGAAAATTACTTCTGTTCAGCAATAGATGTACATATTTATAATACTAATAGATAATAATATTTGGATGTGGGAAGCTCAAGCAAACAGAATTCCTTTCATCACATATACATGTTACTTGAATAATTTCATCTTTTGTAGAAAAACTGTTTTCTTTCAAGAAATAACAATTATTGCGAAGAAATCATCGGGGTTGGAGAGTGACAGCGAACAGGGGGCTTGCCCTCCTAGTACATACATAACAACTAAAAATATAGATTAGAATATGAAATAATACATATAAGGGAAAAAATATATTTAAAAATTTTTTTAAAGAGCAGAAGAAAAAAAAATTAAAATTAAATATTTTTAAAAGAATACTTAACAATTTAAAAAATTAGAAAGTCCAAAAGCAAAATAAGGAAAAGATATAAACTCGTCATCAGCTCACGCGATTATATTAGCAAAAAAGAGTGCTGTCTAATCATTACATTAATATATCCAAAACGAAATATATGAATACAATAGTGTGAGGAGCACCAAAAAATATTTCGCAACAAAAATAGAACAAATTATGCAAAAAGAAATGCAAAATGAAGCATCAACCAAAAAATCTACATATATAAAAATGAATGTCTGTGTATGTGTCCTTTATAGACTCCAAAGACAGGGATGAGCAAATCACGGCTCGCGGGCCAACTGTGGCCAGACGGAAGATCTTATTCTGCCCGCGGATATAATTTTAACCTGCCGATCCGTGGCGAATACAAACAATATACATCTATTTTCTTGTCTACTTTGTTAAAAGCTAGTTTTATTCTTTCTTTTTTAACAAAGTACTGATGACATAAGTTGATGGAAATAGCTAGTACAGGCCTTAGAGGAGATATTAGGGTAGAGAGAGCCAGTCTATTGTTTGGGCTCGGAAAACTTGTTCAAAGATGGGGGTTACCTTTTTGGCGAAAAATTCATAGCTGGCGGTCGCATCGTACAGGAATATTTTTAAGAGTACCTAAGGACTTTTCTCTTTTTTTAAATTTTATTTTGCATGCTTTCCCAATTTTATTTGTGATTAAAAGAAATAAGTTTTTAATAAAAATACATCATAATATGCGCGCTACATTTAATTATTTGCTTTTAATTGCTTAATCATAAAAAGCTAATAACATATTAGTTAAGCATGATTTTACCAAACAATGAAATAAAAATAATGATTTTTTGAATCGAAGATACATTTGAAAGTATGTAAAATATAAAGAAACAGTTGCAAATGATTATATGTATTAATTATTTTTGTCAAAAGCTCATAAGAGATAAGAATCTTTGTCCATCAAATGAATCCGCAGTAAAATGCTTAGAGCATAACACACTATTATTGGATGCTGTGAATTCTTCTCTGTGAACATTTACTTCCCATACTTTTCGTTTTATCTCATCTTTAGGAAATCTACGTCAGTTAGCTATTAATACTGGTTGGTTTTAAAATTATTATTATACAAATAAAATAATAAAGAAACATGCTGAAAAATACGTAAAATGTTTTTTAAAATTAAATTAAAGTTGAAACTATTAACTGAAATGATTTGAGAAAATCTCATAATACATTACACATTTAGTATCTGATTTTTAAAATGCAGAAATATGTGTGAATAAAAAATTAGCAATTTTATATATTTGAGTTAAATAATTATGTAAATTGTTACTAAAAAACAAAGTAATTTAAAAGAAAATGTGTGTCTTCTATTAGTACAACGAAGAATTATTAATTCAGGTTCAGATCGATGGGTCAGCTTGTCCATGAAGTAAAGGCGGGCGATACGCAGTGCTAACCACATTATCACTCTTATGACTGTTGATCATTAAATTGTGCTAGCTTAGCCTTCATGACT